CACTGTGGAAGGATAAATCATGACAGACTTTTGGTTCCAGAGGGAAAATTTTCATCCACAAAACTGATTTTCTCTGGGCAGAGATAGGGAAGGAGCAGGTCAGGAGTAACCATTGCTTCTGGCATACAAAAGTGTGTTTGTGTGTGTGGGGGGTTGTTTGTTTTTGCAGGACCAAAAATATGACTAATTGTATTCTACTGTCATGAATTTGTCCAACAGAAGTTTATTATCTCTGCCCAGCTTTCAAAAAATTTATTCTTCTGAGCACTGAACAGGGAAAGTCTCTTATGATTAATCAACTGATTAAATTTATTAAATTTACTGATTAAATCAGAAATATTCTCCCCACCCACCCCTACACCTGCAGCTTTTTTCCTATTGCTACACATGCATCTTAGTTTAATAGCCCATGGGAAGCCTTTCTGGAGTGCTTTAATTACAATTGTATCTCTCCAAACAGATGTGAACTTCTTTACCCAAATGTTGCTCTTTCTTTCTCTCCAACTCTTGCTTTCCTTGTGCATCAATCTGACTTATTACATACCTGAATAAAATTTAAATTATTCTGACAGAAGCTAAATAGAGAAGCTAAAGATAATGAAATATTAATAAACTACTGATACATTTGAAAGGAATGTCTAATATTAGCTCTTGGCCTCTATTTCTATTTTAACAGTTGTAGCCATTTGTTCAGAAGAACTGATATGAATTTACTTTTCAAGTTCTCCTTACAATCAAGATTTCATTTCCTTCAGATATACTACAAAAGCTTTTAACCATCCAGGGAGAGACTGCAATGAGCTAGTCAACCTTACAAAGAAGGAACAGTGCTGTTCTGGGTGTGGCTTTTGGACAACTCAAAGAAATACAACAAAAAGAAGGTAGTTTAAAGAAGGTGGATAAGAATAAAAAAGAAGATGAAATGAAAGAACTGGTAATAACAGCAGAATTGGTGAAGTAAAGGGCAAGGAAGATTAAAAATTGGTCAGTACCAGGTGAAGATGAATTGCATAGTTTTAGATTAAAACATCTGACTGGTCTACAAGCATTCATTGCCAAGCATTTTAACATACTGCAAAAAGGTAGAATTGAAAAATAGCTAACATTTGGCAAAATCTACCTGAAAATGAAAGATCCAGCAATAGCAAAGGAACAAAAGAATGGCTTCCAACTGAAAAAAAATATTTTGGAAAACAGCCAGAGAAGGAAGTCCAACTTGAATGTAGCTTGGATTTCAAGAAGACATTCAACTCTCTGTCATATGCTTGAATAATCAAGTACCTTAAAATAACAGGAGTTAGAAAAAAAAATCAGATATTTGTGCAAAGATCAAGAACATGGTAGACAACACAGATGCTGGCCAATGGTGATAGATCAATCCAAGAGAGGAATTTTTCAAGGAAACTCACTGTCACCATTACTGTTTGTTATTGCACTGTTTCCTCTGTCAGCAGTATTGAACATGTCAGGCCATGGCTATCAAATATCCAAAACATCTGACAGGCTATCCCATCTCCTTTACACAGATAATCTTAAACTGTATAGAAAAACACCAGCTGGAATACAATTGCCATGGAGATTAGACTGGATGAATGTACCATCAACAGGGGAAAATTGTGAAAGGAATGAATATGCTCTAAGGAAATAATATCAAGAGTCTGGATGTACAAGGTCACTACAAATACCTGAGCATTTTTCAAGCTGATAACATCAAACACATTGAAGCATCTACTGAAATGTGTAATGTTTAGGGCCTTAAATATAGATTGAATTCCTTTACATATCTTAGAATAATTATCCCTAAGAAGATGTCTACATTTATAGAGATAAATACTTCTAACTATTTATCTTGGATTAATATTGCTCTTAATAGCTAGTTAAAATACCAATGAAGCTTTAAGGAAAAATAACAGTTGTTAAAATCAGTATCATTGCTATACTGAAAGTGACACCTACTGTATGTTAGTAACTGCTAAGTTTTTTTATCAGATTGGTAGGTTTTTATGTGATAGGCAACATCTAGTAGTAAACAAAAAAGGAGAAACAATACTGAACTACATAAGCAGCAGAAACATTTATTCCTAGCTCATGTATGTATGTATTTTATTTGCCAAATTTAAATACCTTTTGATATCTTTACCATGTATTCTTTACCATTTGATAACTTTGCCATGTATCTTTTGTTTCCTCAGCAGAAAAGACAAAATTTGTTGAAGAACATTAAATGTGCATCTTTTGATTTTAAAATTTATTCAGTCCAACAAAAAATATTTTTTGAAGGTACCATTGGGTGCTTTTGAAAAGTTGCATTCATCTTCAATAATGGAAGGGTCATTGACAGATGCATTTGGGGATCATTCCATCAGTGTTTATAAAACTAATAGAGTTTGGGAAGAAAAATAAGATTAAGTTATTGATGTAAAATGTTAAGGTATATATCCCAAATTTGAAACTCAGTCATATCCATGTTATTCTGATTCAGTGATACATGGACTATACTTTGAAACATTTTGTTCTACTTTCATAAGAAGACTCTGTCATGCTGGATTTTTAAAGCTTGAATTGATAAAGTGTATAGATAGTACTCAACTTGCAACTATTCCTTCAGTGACCTTTCAAAGTTACAGCGGTGCTGAACAAAAGGATTTATGACCAGTCCCTAAAGTTATAATCATTGCAGCATCCCCTTCATCATTTGATCAATAAGGGGTGCTTGGCAGCCTGCCCATACTTAGGAGCAAGGAGTATTTAAACTCTCCCCCCATCTATGCCCTTTTGGCCCCTGGTACTCTGGATCCCTCAGGCTTCTTGGTGCAATGTGGCTCTGAAGCCACAGTGCAGCACCCATCATAATACAAAATCTGGCCCCAGCCTGGCCCAGCAGCGTGACACAAAGTCACAGCCATCCCAGCCCAGTCCCAGCCAAAAAACATCTTTGCCACACTGCACAGCAAGGCTCCTGACATCTTGCGCTCTACCACCCTAGATGACCTTTGCCATCCTCTTGCTCCCACTGCTGACCAAGCATGCCTGACCTGGCCATTCACAAGGTAGCTGGTGGCCGCAGGTTTTCTGCCTGAGGTCACGGGGAAGTTTCATGGCACTTTTCTTGTGAATCTTGTAGTAGAAGTCCTCATGTGATCTATTGCCTTTTGGGGCTCAGGTTAAACTCTTCTCAAGAACAGTTACACATATATACACTCTTATTTTTGTTTGTTTGAATTTACAGTATACACAAACACTATTTATTGATTGATTGATTTAGTAATTGATTTAGTGATTTCAAATGGCTTGCAATATTAAAAATCCACTCCATATGTTTAGGGGCTTTTGAAAAAGCAACAAGGTAGGGATCACCCAGAAACCCTTTTTTCATGGCCTCATCAGATGTACATCTCTAATAAATGGGACTCACAACTAGCTTCCATCCTGGTAGGCTGCATAGTTGTAATTAGGGGGGGAGAAACTATCCTTCAAATAGCCTTACTCCAAGCCATGTAGAGCTGTAAAGGTGATATGGTGATAATCAGCACCTTGAATTGTACCCGGAAGTAGATTGTCAGCCAGTGCAGTTCCTGCAAAAGGTGACACATGTGCAAGTCTAAACTTGCAAAAAATTGTTAGGGCCGCTGCATTTTGAACTAGCTGAAGTTTCTGAATACTCAATGGCAGGCCTATGCAGAGCACATTACAACAGTCCACACCAGAGATAACCAGGTTAGGGGTGACTTTGAAAAAAGCACATTGATCCAGGAATGGGCATAATTGGTGCACAACTCATAGTAGCATGAAGACATTCCTGGCCACAACTGCTACCTGCTCTTTGAGCAGGAGTTGTGAGTCTAGGAGAAACCCCATATTACAGACTGGTTGGTCTGGGGCAGTGCAACTCCATCCACCAAAGATGGTAATTCTCCATAAAACTAAAAAGCCCCTAACTCAAAGTCACTACATCTAAAGTACATATACAGATACACAGATACACACACACACAAGCAGAATTAGGGTCCTATGCGTGGATCTACTAATCTACTTTTAGTGATCATTCCTTGTGTATAATACTAAAAGATAATATTACATCAAATATTAGCATCAGTTCTAAAAAAAGTAAAGTAAAAAGTAAGTTTAATCCAACTTTGCTTTAACTGCTGAAGTTATCATGCTTATGTGTTTCAGACTTCACTGGGACTTTCCACTCCAGAGTATACACCTATTTAGTAAATTATTTTGAAAAGTTAGTTTCTAAGTTGTCTTGGGGAACTTTCTCCTTTTGGAAGGCAAAAGTCAATTTTTAAAAAAAGTATACAAATGAAATTAAAACAATTACCGAACATGTGTGGAACTATTTCAGCTCAGGATAAAAGATTATGATGTTAAGAAGTAGCAAGTCATTTTCATGTGAAATGTTTTGTTATTAGAAATCTCTCTTTCATCCTATATGTGAATCTCTCTGTGCAATCATGTATCTCTGTTCTCATTAGATGAAATGTCTCCTTGGGTTTCCGCCACCAACTTTCAGCCAGTCTGCCTACCTGCTAAGTTGCAGTAGACCAAAATATTTCCAGAAACATGTTTTCCTACACATCATTTAATCCCTAATATGATACTATTAAGAATTTTGATCTAACATCAGGCTAGAAATCAGGAGAATGTAAATTCAGATCCTGTCCATAGTCTGCCTTAGACATGAAATCCGTCTGGGTGACTTTGAGCCAGTCACTGTCTTTCATCTCAAGTCACCTCATAGGGTTGTTGAGGGGAAAACGGGAGGAGGAAGGTATGTTGGATACATTTGCTGCCTTGAGTTATTTGTAAAAATAATAAAAATGGGATAAAATATCTTTAGGCACACTGATTGAAATTAAATATGTTTTTTTAAAAAAAATCAAGGAAACTACAGTTATAACAAATCATACAAATGGCTCTATAAGTTGAAACAGAATTTGCTTTGTTTTCTTTTTGCATTCTGTCTTGTGGAAGGTTGTAATGCTTTAAAAAGAAAAACTGAAATGAAGCATATACAGAGGTAAAACTTTTAGAAAAAGTTTTTAAACATGGCCCATTAAAGCTGTTTTAAATATCTTCCTTTGGTCTATAGTTGCACCTCAAATTGCAACTAAGATTATCATATTTACATATTTTCATCCTGATTCCTTTCACAACACACAACTGGTTCTCCAGTCTATTATCCAGAGCAATTTATCTCTATATTTCACTTATTTTGCATTTGTTGTTCTGTTATCTTTTTTGATGACTCTAGTGTCTATCTACTATACATTTATATTTGTACCAGTCTTGTAACAGCTAATGGATTTACAGTTGTTTCTGATGAGAGCAGATGGAAGGCTATAGGTTCTGTTTTACTACAGCTTCTCTTATCCTTTGTCCTTGGGCAGATGGCACAAGATCAACCATTAGGAAATCCATGTTTGGATGTGCATTACACAACAGTAGACAGCTGTCCAATCTTTATTTTAAAAATCTGCATTGCTGCACAGCTCATCAATCATAAATGCAGGCTAAAACATCAACCTGGAACAACAGCACAAATGGAAAGGTTGTTAAAAACAGAAATTTGTTGGGTTCCACAAAGAAGGGGAAAGTAAAAAGTGTACTCACTGGATCTCATTGGCCCCGTAAAGCAGCTACAAATTTCTGCACAATTCTTGCAGAACATCTCATGACGTTAGCAAACTTAAAAATCTCCTCCTGTTTTTTCCACAATTAGTCCAAAAGATGACTTGTGACATGTATAAATTCTGTAAACATGAGTGGTAAAATACATGTGAAATGTTCCATTTTTGCCTCATTTTCCTGCAGATAGAATATGTTCTATTGTGACACACAGCAGCCATCAATCATTAAATGCCAAACGGAACTCCAGTGTAGATTCTGACTTAAGACTTCGTGAAAAACAGACTCACCACATCCAATTTTAACTTCATTCAGCATGCAAAGAAGTGACAAAGAAATCTCTATAGAGTTGGCAAGAATCATTCATGAATTTTTAATACTGTCAAACTCCTCATTTTGAGTCGCAAATTAAGTAATGAAATAAGGAGCAGCATGTGGCCTGGCTACTGCCGTAAAAAGGAGCTGGTAGGTAAGCCTGGGGTGCTCAGGCTTCAATGAAGAGTGTTGAGATGCTATTCAGCTCTGCTCGTGCTGTGTTTCTGTTCTTTCTTGCCACAAGAGGTGAGGCAGATGGGTGAACCACACTCTGCAAAGAACTGCTGCTTTCCTATCTTTGCACACAACTTTGGCTCATGGGTCTTTTACCATGAGTAGAGTTGGAGAAAGACTTCTTTCTAAGTTTGGCTGGATTCTTTGAGTTCTGAGTTGGGAGAATGATTGTAATTTTCAGGTTTTTTCCGAAGGAGAGGCTGAAGCAAAGCACATTGTTTGGGAGAAAGAAGCACTTTCTGTACCGAAGGTAGAGTGGGTCAGAGAGGTGCACAAATTGCAGGCAATTTGTCTGAAAGCACCACGGTACTTTGCTCCACCTCAGTAAAAAAAAAAAAAAAAACTGAGTGGGTCTACTTTTCAGACTAACAGCCTATTTGCTTATATACTACAGTGGTGGGACTTTCTGTGAACGTGGTACCTCTTCACAGAATTGCTCAGAAAGGACACTTTGCTCAGCTATCCAATGAAACAAAAGTCCTTTTCAACTATATGGACAGCTATAATGATGACATAACTCTTCTTTTCCCCCATAAAACAACCCTCAAACTTGCTTGTTCCAGTATTCCTGTTCTTTAAACTGTGTTGCCTTTTTGGCTCTTAATTCTTACACAGAGTCCCTAAAGGAAAAACATACAAATAGCCTTTTACTTACGACCACAGATGCTACCAGAATTTCCATTGCTAAATAAGTCAGTTGTTAAATGAGTTGAACTCATTTTTTTTTTTTTTTGCCAAGATTGTTAAGCAAATCACTGAAATTTTTAAACAAACCCAGCTTCCACCATTGATTTTGCTTGTTGGAAACTGGCTGGGAAGATTGCAAATGGAAATCACATGACTCCAGGACATTTCAACCATTGTAAAGATGTGTCAATTGTCAAACACCTGAATTTTGATCTCATGATCATGGAGATGCTGCAATGGTTTTAAATGCAAGGACCGTGGTAAGTCACTTTTTACAGTGCTATTGTAACTTTGAGAGGTCACTAGCTGAATTATTGTAAATAAAGGTCTGCCTGTAAAACATCAGACATGATAGATCAAGTCAGCAGCAGAAGCCACAGTGGTTTAATCTCAACAAGGCTGGTTCCATTTCTCTTTAACAATTGCTCCACTATTTTGCCTTGAGTAGATTTCAAGTTAACTGTCCACAACTCTGCACTTTTTTTAAAGAAGTGATTTTGTCCTGAGAAAACAGAAGAGCTCACATTCAAGATCCTCAGTTTTGATGTCAGACCTATGAAAGAGTAGAAAGTCTTAGGTGGGACAATCTAATTTGATTTGGGAAGTGAATGGGAATCTCAGTCTGTACATACATTAAAAAGGGAGCAATTTCTAAAGGATAGGATTTTTTTAATAAGAATCTGATGAGAACAATTGATGACTTTTTAACTATCAGTTTGTCTGAATGATTTTCCCCAAAAGAAACATATTTGCAATCATTGGGATTTGGGGATTTTGAAGTTCAGTAACATGGGGTGTCTCAGAGCAAAGACATAAGCTACTCACACACAATTTAAATTTGTGAATGTTAGTCTTTAATTCCTCAGGTCTCTCTCTCTCTCTCTCTCTCTCTCTCTCTGTGTGTGTGTGTGTGTGTGTGTGTGTGTGTGTGTGTGTGTGTGTGTGTGTTTTGTTGGAAGGTAAATTCAACTGCAGGGATACAGCTCTATGCCATACTGTGTATTGTATCTGTTTGCCCTGTGTATATGTTTATACCCATATAAAAGGATATATGTTCTGGAATATCCATCCATGAGAAAAGTGGAAGGATAGCAGCAGGGAATCATCCAATGGAAGGTCATGCTGGCCTGCCATTGAGACTGAATGCAAGTTGTTGCCAAAATATTTCTTTCCAGTCAAGCTGGCATGAACACAGGACTGGAGCATGTTAAATGGGCAGTGCAGGTGTTCCCAGGGTGTCTTTTCTTTTGATACTGGGAAAGTAAAGCAAGATGCTCATGCAATCATTTTCCCCTATCTTAATTATTATTATTATTCTGAGAATGAACAAGGCCCCTTCCTTTAAATGTTGTCATCTAATGAGATCTAGGAAGCAACCCTGCCCTGTAGAATAACCTTCCCCTGGGAACCCAGCAAGCATTTCACTCACTTTTAGCCTTCTAGAAAGCTGTATCAGGGGTTCTCAACCTTGGCAACTTTAAAATTTGTGGACTTCAACTCCCAGCTGGCTGAGGAATTCTGGGAGTTGAAGTCCACAAGTCTTAAAGTTGCCAAGGTTGAGAACCCCTGCGAGGGTTGGTTTCCACCCCATGCACACACACACAATGTAGAGATAGGTGAAGTTGGAACCTGAGGATTGTATGATTTGATGAAGCAGAGATTTCTAGTTTTTGATTTTTTTATTATTATTATTGTTCTTGCGATTTACCTAGAGTTGTCTATCACAAGATAGGCAACCATGTAGGTCAAAAACATACATACATGCATGCATACATACATACACACATACATGTTCTCACCATTCTGAATTGTACAAGGAACAGGGCAGGATCGTATCCCCATCTTATCCCAGGGATCATTTGGAGAGGCAATGTTTTCTTGTTTGATTTCAAAGAATTTCAAAGGTCTTTTCAAACTTCAATGAATTGTTATGATATATTATTTGGAGAAAAGCACTTGGAGACTTCTTGGATATTTGTACCCATTGCCATCCCTTAAAACACTTCTCTCCAAATTGACATGGTCCAACTCGACCCACTTTTGAAGAGTTTCCTTGATAAGCTATACAAACTTAAGCTCCTGGAAATTGCATGTCTCTGGTGTAGTCCAAAAGTCCTTGTCCAACTAATGCCTTTCAGTGTCCATTCTCTGTTGATATGCCGGATTTGCCTGCCCCACCTGAAGGAAACTCCTTGCTATAATTTGCTTCAAAAATCATAACAATCAAAACCAATAGGACCTGAATGCTTGTGTAGTTTTTTTTTCTCTAGTCTTTAAATTAAAAAAAGAAAATCTTGAATGAGAACTGTATTTATTGGCTTCTTGAAAAAGAGGAAGAAACCACTAGTTGAGGTCAAAATGCCAGAGACAAATTACTCCGCTACATGTTATGTTTAACTTCCCTGTCACAGTCAACAATTAGTACACTCACAAAACATTAAAACTTGAAATAGGCAAAAAAAATCTATACTTCTACTACTCACTATATTTCTCTAGGAAAATTCAGGGCCTTTTTTCTGTCAGCCAGTAGGCCTATTTCCAATTTGAAGAACAAGTTTCTCACTAACACAACATGGTTGCCATAGTAATCATTCCTCACATGATCACCATTTACCAAAAGGCCAACTGGGGAAGCTGTTCCTCACCTTCTCATTTGCCTGACAGAAACTTCCCTCCCACTTCAGCTTCCTTTTATGAGCAACTGGGCATTTCTTCCAACCTAAGCAATCAGCACTCATCATTTTATTTTTAAAATAGCTGTGAGGGGGTCAAGACACTACTGGAAATAGATGTGCTTGATAATGATACTCTACAGCAGGGGTGTCAAACTGCCGGCCCATGGGCTGAATGTGTCATCCAGAAGCTGCACCCACCCCATTGCCGGCAATGGCAAAACTGTCCCGATATGTTGTGCGACATGATGTGACTCGCGAGTTTAACATGTCTGCTCTACAGCCTGCTAATCCCTTATTTTTTTTTCTTGGCTGAATTATATTCTGAAGCCAACTAGAAATCATGTGGGCAAGGAGTCTGGCTGATGACAAAAATATTGCCCTAATGCAGGGGTCCCCAAACCCTGAGGCCATGGCTTAGTACTGGGCCATGGCTTGTGTTTGGATCTAGGCCACAGAAATGGCAGGCGAGCACACACAGCTCCATTTGTGTAAGCAGGCCCACAACTGGTCTGCAAAAGCCAGAAAGTTGGGGACCACTGCCCTAATGCAAGGAAACATTAAGAAGCTCTTTTCATTAAGTACAACATTTGAGGAATAAACTTCAGGCTTGATTTTTTTTTTAACATCCAAATAAAGGAAAGGAGTGGGAAAAGGAAATATGATGATTCCAAAGATACCGAGAAAAATATAAACATGCTTTTAAAATCAATGTTCTTAGTTGGTTCCTGTAAGGGATGAGGTGTGTACATATGTGCCCACATACTGGGAAGACAGGCAGTGGAGAAGTAACATAATCAGTTTTGTGCATAAACACCCATTAAGAGGCACCCTAAGCATAAGTCCAGAGTCTGCAGACAACCATGCTTTATGTTGTATTATCATTTTGATGGAATGAGCAGGGTCAATACTGTCACGTTTTTGCCTATTCCCATCTTCATTCAGGGACAGAGAATTATTCTAAAGCTAATCAATCAATGGATGTAATCAACCGCTTTAAACTTCCTTGCCATCTTCATGTAATCTGTTTTTAGCTTAACAAAATTTAAATATCAGTGTGTTGGATTTGGGTTTTTTTTTTTCCTCTTTGCTTTTTTTCAGCTTTACTTGATAGTCTTTCTGCATCCTCTTTAAGATAGTAAAAGGCCGACAAGGATTTGAAATGTGCTTGGTGATTAAAAAGATTATTGCAGTAGATTGATTCCAGAGATTACATCATTCCCACTCCAGGACCTTTTGCTGTGTGAATTCATTTACATATAATTGTATATCCATTATTGCTACACCTCATATACTCCCACTAACTTTATTTCCATTCTAGAGGTTAATAGCTTTCTGAATAAATTTAATAAAGGCACATCAACAATTGACACTAAAATCAAGCAAATAAATTTTGGATATAAATATAAGAGCTGCTGACAACCAATACAGTATGTCTTAAATAAACAACACAAATCAAGTTGCATAATGTAAATCTTTCTGGTAGTGCAGAGAATAACCTATAATATGTTGGTCTGCTGGTACCCTAGAAATAATAAAGCCCGATAACACTTTACAGCAATCTCTGTACAGCAGTTTACAATGTAGAAGCATTATTTGCATATTTCCCCCAACCATCTGGGTCCTCATTTTACCAACCTCGGAAAGATGGAAAGCGGAGTCAACCTTGAGCCCGTCAGGATCAAACTCCAGGCTGTGGGCATAGTTTGCCAGCAAAACCGCACTTAACAACTGCACCACCAGGGAAACAACCAGATATATTGTCTGGCTGCATTGGTATCTGACTGTGTGAGTGCTTAAAAATACTTAAAATAAGAATTCTAATGTGATAATATCTTAGGCACATGGAACTATTCAAAGATTCCTTTGTCTCTTCTCTTACCATTCTTATTCTTTTCCTCTTCAGAAGTGTCCTTCTTAACTGAGTGCGGGAGATGAATGATATCATAAACTGTTCACATGGTCCCACATAGGACCACACGTCTGAGATGAAAAAAAACAGCAGACAAGGGGAATATGAGGGTGGGCTTGGAGGAGAGTACCATGAACAAAGGTCTCAAAAAAAGTATTTTACCCCCTTTTCTTTTTTAGCCCCCCCCCCAAAAGGCTTTTCTTCATTTCACTTAAGCCATTCTACTATGAAACAGCAGTCATAGGACTGTTGATTGTAACTTTGCCATTGCTTGAAACGATGGCGATGCTTTTCTGTTTTTCTAAAAAAAATGGTGAAAAATTACACATTACACAGAGTCTTCAGCTGCTTTTTTTTTCGTGACCCATTATTTAAAATGCACCCTTCCACATTTTTCACAGCCTGAAAATGGTCGTATAAAAGGAGATAGGGTTCAGCAGGGTTCCTCTTTCGTGTACTCATAGAAAGGAAATGCATTTCACACATTTTAGTTCCTCGTCAATTTTACCACTCATCTTTTCTCCTATTGGCCACCTTATTATCTTGTCAGGTTTTTATTTCCAGCTTTTGAAAACTGGCAAAGCCATTTATTTGTCTATTTGTGCAATAATCCAATTTTTCTGACCTCTCAATCAGCAGTCATGCAACACCAAATTTATTGTAAAGTGAGAAATGTGAGGGAGAGAGGGGGTTGGAAGTAAACCAGCAGGCCTCAGACAATCAACCTAATTAGTAGCTTACTTATTTGCATGGGACTCACAGCTATCAAATCTAGGCAAGAGTCTTCATTAGGAATTATAATAATACGAGAGATTTCTAGTTTTGAAAAGCTATTGAAAACTTAAAATTGTCCTTGTTTAAAAGAGAAGTCATCTTCTGTTATAATGATGGCTTAGGGCAAGGAGAGAATTTTCTCTGTGTTAATCCAAAGCTAAATTTTAAAAGTATTTCCCAAATGTAATTAGCCTTTTATTATTTCCAAAGACCCAGATCCTATTTACATAATAAAATGGCACGTATTTCTGTGCCTCTGACTGCACCCTTAGGTCCTGCTAATGTTGTCTTCCAGTGTCCACAAGCAACAGATTTGAAACACTCTTTATTAGGAGAAAATACTTTTACTTTTGTTCCTGCCAAACAAAAGGAAAATAAGAGAAACTGAAGGTGACTAGAGGTCATCAGCATGAGTAATAATCAGAAATTTGAAAAAAAAAAACCATTGAAGAAAAGAAAGCGTCCCAAAGATTCATAAAAATGAAGCATAGCTCAAAAAAAAAAAAAAAAAGAACAACCGATAAATGTGCACAAGAGAATACAGAGAGGTAAGGAATGCCAAAATACATAACCTTATCTCTATTTTTAAGAGATGAAAAAAGAAGGAAACCAGCTACAATTGCTGAATGACCCAAGAATTAAAGGAAATTAAATGTGCATTAATACTTTAATCTGTCTTCAGTATAGCTGTAGAATGAATATTGATTGGCACGAAAATGCTTGGGGGATGAAGTGAAAGCTAATGGCAAGAGTTAGGATTTCAGGCTTGACTGGCAGACTGAAAACATATTTGGGGTCACCCAGCTGGTTTTCATAACTAAGACAGAACTAGAACTCATGGTCCCCTGGTTTCTAGACTAATATTTGAGCCACCACACCAAACTGGATCTCTGACATTAGAGACACCATATTGTGAAACATACATGCAAAAGAATATCTCCCTTTCTCCACTGTCTTTTTTTTTTTTTTTAATTCTGACAATGATTATCTGACCATGCAAAACTGTAGGATCAAATGATCACAGCCAGAAGAAAAAGAAAAATGAGAAAGGGAATTTCTTGTGCCATTGTGGTGCCCATGGAATCACTTGAGTCTAAAGGGTTTAAAACAGGGGTGTCAAATTGCCAGCCCGTGGGCCAGATGCATCATGTGGAAGCCGCACCCACCCCATTGGCGGCAATGGCAAAACAGTCCCAATATGTTGCGCGATGTCACATGACGTCACGAGTTTAACATGTCTAGTTTAAAAAGTTCAGATATTGACTACCAGCAAGGTGAGAGAATCTTCCCAACACCCCATAATTCTGGGTCAACTTGGTTTTTCATTACCCTTCATATGCTCCCTTTTATTTTTACCAGAAAGCCTCCATAAAAGAGGCAAAATCCAAAATGTAATAAATATTTGAGACCCCACTAAGTAGTGCAATGGCTAGTTCTTTGAATGTGTTCATGCATTATTCAGAGATAGAGATGAACTCTTGGTGGCTACTTCAAATGCCCCAACATTGTTGAAGTAAAAAACTGTACTAACTAAAACTTCTTTATCCCATCATTCTTTATTTTAAAATGTAAACAGAAGCTGGCTGCTTTAATTTATTCAGAGTCCTACAGTGTATAATATAGTGATAATGCAACATTTGTTTAATGTCAACAATTCCTAAACATTAAAAATCAGGTCTGCATTTAAGTCAGATTTAAATGAATGGAAATTACTGAGAATTCTGGAGAACCCAGCTCAAGCAAAATTTCCTGAGAAACACCAAGATAAATTTTATTATTAATCATTTTTCTATTAAGATTCATTCCTTCACTTGAACTTTCCTCTATGCATGCACTAAATCTTCATGTGTATGTTCTTATAATTTAAAGCATGTTAAGATCAGATGCAAAATTCTCAATTATTTTTGACACCACATTATAATGATGTATTATAAGTATATGCACAGATATTTTAAAAGAGAAAGATAAGCAATAGTAAGGGAAGGCGAGGAAAAGATGGTTACTCCAACCCCTATAATTCACTCATAACAATTAATGATGTGAATAATTTAAAATGAAGAGTTAAAATTACCAGATGCTATAGCATATGCTAGAGAAAGAAATACTTTGAGAAGTATTTCTCCTCTTCATTTAAATATTTACTAAGAATCTGCAAGGCAATAGTAAAAAAAGAAAGTTAAGTATTTAAGGATTT